AAATCACACCAAGAAGGGGAAGAAAATTTGAAATCATATTGGCCCAGCTAGAAAAATTTGAGAAGGAAAAGGAGATATGTCCAAATGTAACTGCTCTACAGAGACTAGAAAAGATAGGGAGATTTTTACCAGGGCAGGGAAAGTGGCTCAAAATCGTCAGAGAAGAATAAAAGGACTATTTTGGAGAACAGAATAAAATGCCAGCCACCCCCACCATAGGGTGCCCAGATTCAGGCATCATTATATCAAGAAGGGTCCTCTTAGGGCCGGCCCCGTGGCTTAGCGGTTAAGTGCGGGTGCTCCGCTGCTGGCGGCCCGGGTTCAGATCCCAGGCGCGCACCGACGCACTGCTTCTCCGGTCATGCTGAAGCCGTGTCCCACATACAGCAACTAGAAGGATGTGCAACTGTGACATACAACTATCTACTGGGGCTTTGGGGGAAAAAAAAAAAAAAAAATTATTAAAAAAAAAAAAAAAAAAAGAAGGGTCCTCCTAAAGCTTTAAATAGGGAACCCAGAGAAAGCATCAATGAGGAACTCCTCAATAACTGGAATTGTGATACCATGTAGTTACAGAAAATGTGGACGTATTTAAAAAGAGGAAGACTAGAAAGATCAGTGTGGAATTCTTCAAGCATTGTTAAATTAGTTTTAAGGTGACATTGTTCTTATAGATGGAACAGCAGGTATAGCACAGGCTAAAAGGAGGTGTGCCTGGGAAATGTAGGGAGTTAGTACTTGAAGAGAAGGAACAGAAAAGTAGAGACGTATTAAAGAGGACCCAGGGAGGATGACAATTGATCAAGCCCAGGCCTGGGTCATAGGCTGAACTGAATAGAAATAAATGTCTCCTAATGAAAGTGAAGGTGGGTAGGATTTGTTTGAACACTGGATATTTGTGGCAGATTCAGAACTCTTTGCCCTCATTTCCTCTCTATGGAGACCTCAGTGGCAGAATCCAAAGTAATATGTTAGGAGAACAAAAATCTAAGTATGAAAACAAAAAGCAAATACAAGGAAGGAAAGTACTAGGACCTAGCAAAAGTATTAGCCAGACCTGGGGATAAAGAAGGAACAGAAACAACTGGGATGGAAGGTTAAAAGCTTCAGCCGGGCCTGCTGAACAGAAGGAATACTCAGAGGGAACTGGAACACTGGAGGCTTATCTCTCTGATGCAGAAAAGGAAATGTGGCAGGAAGAAATGCTTCAGTTCCCATCAAGGAAGCACAGGCGGTTCAAGACTTAGAAATTCAGTTCTAAGGAAAGGTGGGGCTTGAGTGGAAAACCACTAACCTAGAGGACTTCCTGGACCTCATTAGACCAGTGAAAGCCCAGTTTCCAGAAACTGAACAGCAGCTCAAGGATAGCTGAGGGTAATTCTCCAGGGTAGAGGAACATGAAACCTCCTCACCACAAAGCAGGACTCAGAGGTAAGGCATTCAATAACAGGATCCCAAGGAGCTCAGGACTAAAACAATTCTTGGGATCTTTCTGGGGATAGAGAAATTCAGAGAAAAAGAGCAGAAAATTGGGACTGTGACAGGGGCAAGCAAAACAATGCATTTCACTTGAAGAGTTTCCTACTATAAATGTGGGGTACTCTACCCACAAAGAAATGAGGTTCTTTCACTAAAGAGATAAAGATCTTCAGCAACAGTGGAGGGTGGGTAGAAACAGGGCTTAAAGGAGAAATGAAAATGAAAAGGTTCTAAATACTTGAGATGGGCACCAAGAAAGACCTGGAGCCACCACTGCAAAGTTCTAAAATGTTCAAGGAGAGTGGATTTCCCTTCCCCCAAAACATATGGGAAGCCTAGTGTCAGACTGAATCCAAGTAAGCTCATGAGAAAGAGATTTCCCAAACTAAGTTTAAATTCACAGGTGGAGGACTCCAGACTACTTGGTAACCTGCAGAGGCTGAATCATCACACGCTAGATTATACTTACTACTGGCCATCCAGGCTCCGCATTGCAAAGGAGAAGGTAACAATGGACCCAACTTTCTGAACTTGACACCGTGGGTCTCTCATTATAGGCAAGCACGAGTTTAGACCTCATCTCCTACCACTTTCTCCAGCTCACTCTGCTCCAACCATATTGGATTCCTTGATGTTCTTAGAACATGGCAAGGACTTGCCTGCCTCAAGACCTTGTCATTTGGTGTTCCCCCATGCATGCTTACTCGTTCACGTCCTTCAGATCTGTGCATAAATGTCACTTTATAATTGAGGCCTTCTCTGATCATCATTTGTCACTCCCTTTGTCATGCTGTATTCTTCATCTTAACACTTAGCCCCACCTAACAGATGACATATTTCCTTACTTGTTTTATTTGTATTCTCCTCTATCCCACAACTCCAGCCCATGACAGCTGGGATTCTTATTGCTGCTACAGCGTCAGCTATCAGGACCTGCCTGACACATAGTAGACAAGAAATAAACATTTGTTAAATGAACGCATTTATGCGTCCACGGCATTTGAAGTCTTTGCTTGTGGTCTAAGGTTGACAGAAGCAAGGTGGGTCTGGACTGAGTATGTACTCGGTTCTGGGAACATAATTTTGACTTTTTCTATTTAATAACTAAATATTTAGTAAGATGCAGTAGATGCACTGATTAAGAATGAGGGCCCTGGAGCCAGACTGCCTGTCTTCAAATCTTAGCTATACCCCTCACTAGCTGTGTGATCTCGGACAAGTTGTTGAACTTCTCTCGGCCTCAGGATCCTTATCTGTAAAACAGGGATAATAGCAATGGCTTCCTCCTAAGGTTTGGTGGGTTTGAGTTGACCCAAAGACAGCACTTTGAACAGTCCTGGCACATATTTTGTGCTCAAGAAATGTAGCTATTATTGTCATCATCATTATTATGTGCTGGGAACTATTCTCAACACTTTAGTTGTATTATGTCATGTAATGATCGCTCAGAAGGTACCTGAAGCCCAGATGCAAGAACATAGCTAATCCACTGGCTTTTTTTAAAAAAACTGAAATTCACACAACATAAAATTAATTGCTTTATGGGCTGGCCCCGTGGCTTAGCAGTTAAGCACGGGTGCTCCGCTGCTGGCGGCCTGGGTTCGGATCCCGGCGCGCACCGACGCACCGCTTCTCCGGCCATGCTGAGGCCACGTCCCACATACAGCAACTAGAAGGATGTGCAGCTATGACATACAACTATCTACTGGG